TTGAATTTACAAACAATTTTTTCAACTGCACTCTTGAAACTTTAACATGTCCAAGTTATTGGAACACCCTTTATTTATGAAATGTGATATATTTGATTGGTTCATTTGAAGTCCCACAAAAATGGAAAGAGAAGAAGGATGTGGCAGTGCTTTTTCCTTGGCCAATGAATTAGTAAATAAGCAACTCATGGGAAGGTGAGATTTCCTGGTAAAAATTTTTTGAGCAAGCATTTTTGCCTCATGGTCTGCACTTCTGGACTTAGAAAGCTTCTCATTTTACCTTCTCCTTCGCTGACAAGTAGTTGGAAAAATTTCTCTACTGAGGACAATAAAAGTAGCCAATAAAGACCACATGCATTGTGCTATTTAATACTTCAAAAAAACCTTCCTCCTGGTGAAAAGAAGAGCTATGCTGATGACATAGGTATTTATATTTGGGAAATGCAAGTTCTTGGACAAAAAGTCAATATTCCCTACCAATATTTACATTAGCTTTATGCAAACTATTGTCTTTATCTTTATTGTTGAGTTCAATCCCTGGACTGGGTAGTGTGTACTTGGACTCAGTGGAAATGGGGTAATCAATAACTGAGCAGTACTAAATAAAAACCAGGGATATCCCTAGACATGGGCAGCAGAATGAGAACAATCTAACATTGTATATTAAATAAAGGGTTTAGTTTGAAATTCTGAATCAACATACACCTTACAAAGGGTGGAGGCACAACATCCTAAACATTGTCATAATAACAACAAAGATTCAAATAATAGTTTGCATGTAAATAATGATGAATCCTCAACCCATAAATGCAGACAGATAATTCTTTCTCAAATGTTTCAAGAAATAAGACTCAAGATAAACGTTTCCAAAATAAAAACTGTGATCAGGAAATGGAATTAGTTATGGTTTAATAGCCATAAGAACCTATCAAAGACAACAAAATCAATTTTATAGAGATTGTAAATCCAAATGTTATGGGAAAGGGAAGGTAGAAAATCTATAATGGCAACTAAATGGTATTTAAAGCGAAATTCAGTGAAGAAAGAAATGATAATGAATTCTTACTTGTAACTAGCGTAATCTTGTGGTGGTTGTATGAAATTGCAACAAAAATATATATGTTACCTAAAAGTAATTCTCTATGTAGAAGTAACGATAGAAAATAAAGAGTTAGGACTCTTATTAACAGTTTTGGTAACATATCCAGTCAGCTTTAAAAGAGAGCAAGATAGAAAAAAAAGAAAGAAAATACAGCCTTGAGCATTTTATATATCTTTCTTCGAACACATCTGAAAATTTTGACTCCCCTTCAATCAGATGGGTCGACTGGAACTCATTTCTACAAATTTTCTGTGAAGACAAAATAATATCTTTTATTAAGGTAAGTGCTCAAAATTTCTACAATTATACTATAGTGCTTTTTTAAGCATAGCTTAGATGTGGCGCAAGGCCAAAAGTATTGAGCATCCAGTGAGGATCAAACTCACTACTCAGTTGTAATTGATTTAGTGTAATTGATTTAATGGTTTTACTAACCATTACACTACGTCGAAGTGCCCAAAATCAGTTTCACTGTAGTTGAACATTTCAATGAAATGAACGATAGTATTGATAACGTTAGACATGTCTTTCATTTAAATTCTGAAAAGAATGCTTAAAATCCAAATTAAAATAAATTTTTTACAATAAATTTACACATTCTAGGTTTAAATTGGAATTTACGCCTACTCAATGAATCCAGTTTTCGCAAAAAGCCACCTAGAAAGCCTCCACAATACCAAATGTGGCAAACAGCCAACTAAAAGCTATGAGGTTTCATTAGTAATAGCTTGCACCATATTGTGTTGCAATATGGGCAACGCAAACTTATTTTCTCTTTCCTATGACTCACATAATTGTAGTGGATTGGTAAATAGGATTGAATCTATTTGAAAATGTTAAATAGAATACCTTGACAGAGAAGAAAAGATGAGTTCTTCAGATAAGGACAATGCAATAGAAAATGAACCTATTGATAGCAGGAATAACTCAGACATGGATGAAATGAGTCCAAGATGTCCATTAAAAAGAACCGGACATAAACTTCTTCAAGGGGGACAGGAGGAAAGAGGTTGAAGAAGTTCAAGAACAAAGATATTAAACCTCTTCAGTTCAGGGAGATGTAGTGGATTTGTAATTAGGATTTTACCTATTTGCATATGTTAAGTAGAAGAGATATAAAGGTATGATTAAGAGACAAGGAAGAAGTTGACGACTAATCACCTGTTATAGAACAACACTATATGACAAGTATTAAAAAACAAAATTTTGCCTGGTTAAAATTCATTCCATTTCCTTACACCCATCATTTACATGTATTTTAGTCTAAAGAGCAGTGTGTTGCAAACAAAGTAATAATAATAATAATAATAATAATAATATATATATATATATATATATATATATATATATATATATTCATAAGAATTGAGTACTATGGTGGCCAGTATGGCATTTATATACCATTTATATAATGCACTAAAAATTCCCTTTCTCTGCCGTGCACTGATAGCCGAGAGGTAAGAGTCTCTAACTGATGTCAAATTGGTCGGGTTTTGATCCCGGCTTGAATCAATCAGATGTCTAGCCATACTGATGAGCTGTGACACAGCGAAACAGGCTGCCTGTGGATGACTATATATATATATATATATATATATATATATATATATATATATGTCACATCTATGTATGCATCGGTGATCAAGCAATGTCAAATTGTGCTTTGTAAATGCAAATCATTCTCAGACTCTTGAAACATTTATCTCTGTTTCGTTTCATATCCTAATGTAAACAAAGCAATTTTCTAAAGAAGTAATTGAAGAACTTTTGCCCTTAGTACCAAGCATTTGGTTAAATGGGAAGGTGTACCAAATGATTTTCCTGTTTCTATTCTTATTGACTTATCTATAACCTATGACTGCTGTTGTGTTTTATATATTTGATATCAGTGCACTTATAGCCACTATTTTAAGGCCGTGTTGTAAACTTTACTATGCTTGTAAAAGACATCTTCACTGGAAAAGTTATTGCTAATCTTATATTCTATAGAAGAGGGTATTTGTTTGATTACAGATTGAAGGTGGTTAGAATTCATGTGGATGTATATTAGATTGGCATTTGTTTCATGTAGGGTTGGAATGCATACTAGGTATAATGTAACATCAAGGAAATCTACTTTTTTTTAAATTAGAGTTGATCTTAACTTTAAGGTTAAGACTTTTAAATTCTCTATGTATTAATTTTCTGATTTTGTCAGTTTTAATTATTGTGGATTTTTTTTACTAACATAAGGCCGTCATCTCTATATAATCCTATATTATCAATGTTAATATCATCGTAGGCAGTCAGTCAGTCAGCTATGTACCATGAATGATAAATGCTTAGGTGATCATGTATCTTTCGATACATGACTGACAAGGCAGATTTTTCCCGCAGTAGGTTGCCATTTCATTCCGCTATCCATTACTCAACTGAGTATGATTATATAAGATAAATAAACCAACAAGGTTGGAAGACCTAGCAGAATCTAACGATCCCATGGAAGTATCAAATTGATTAACAGAATTGTTTTTAATCAACTGTTCTTTTTTTATGTTCATAATAATATCAAGCACCTCATTGGAAAGATCTGAGTACTCTTTGGCAAATTCCAAAACCAAAGTAAAAAAGATCCCTGGAAACAGATGGATAATAATCCACAATATCAAATTGAGTAAATGAACAATTTTTTTATTACATATATCATTGAACCAATTTTTGACACTCAGGGTATTAATCCATTGTAAAAGTCGAAGGCGCCTCCTAATCAGCTGGTTGACTTTATCGATGGTGATCTTACTAATCCTTCCAATTTCAGGCCTGGTAGGATTGATAATTCTAGTGGGAAGATTAACTTCAAAATCAGGTTTATGATCCTTGATCATGCCATAGGATTCTTTAGTGCAGAGTTTGTTAACTCTGTTGTTAATTTTGAGCTTGTCAGCTTTACTTGTTGCATTAATTTTATCAACTAAATTAGCAACATTATTATATACTTTTCTATAATTTTTAGCTAAGTTTTTTTTATTTTTTATTAAAGTATTATAATTCTTAGGAGTAATTTTGTAGAAGTTGGCTGTTTTGTCAGATTTTACAAAAACCTTGTTGAGCGAATGAATGTCATTTACAACATAGTCCAGATGCCTTTGAAAATGATTTTTATATTTATGAAAGAGATACAATTAATGATTCCTAATAAATCATTTTCAAAACTATATAATTGTTTAAAGAATGGTGCAGTTTTTAAGCGTTTGAAACCATAAAAATCCGGTTCCTTTGAAAAATCATTATCATGAAGGAAGAAATAGGCTTATTTGTTTTAGTAAATCCTCTGTTTTCAGAACTAGTTTTACAAAATAATCCCGTTTGTTTGTATTAGGAATATTCTTAAGAGAGATTTCAAAATTGTTTTTTTTACATGTTAATGTCAAAAAATAAATGTAGAAAGTGTTCTTTCTACCATGAAGCGAACGAGATATCCAAATGAGAGAAAAATATAATATAAATATAATAAAATAATATATATATATATATATATATATATATATATATATATATATATATAACATAAAGTCAACATTAGAGGCGACAGTCTGTTTCATATATAATCGTCAGGCCACCACAGGTCAAAGGTGGCCTGACGATTGCATATAGCATGAAACAGACTGTCGCCTCTAAGTGTTGACTTCTATGTTCACTATTATATTTACACACGTTCTATCTCTGATATTGAGCACTTTATCCCATAAATATAGCACACCTTAAGACTATATTTCTTCATATATATATATATATATATATATATATATATATATATGAGTATTACCATAAACAACTTGTATCATAATGAAGAGTGTTTTTATATTTGGGAAATTATAAAAAGGATAAAATATGTCTTGAAACTTTTATTAAAACTTACCTTCCAGTGTAGTCCATATAAAAATTTTTCTGTCTTGGCGCGATTGAAAATTCTGACAATTGCGAATCAGAATAATGATCCCCTTGTCTTCCATTGATCAACCTTCGACTAGAGTAAGGTGATCGTACTAAAGGGAGGGACGTTACTGGTGAAATTCCCAAGGGGGACGATCTCCTCATTGAGTTCTTCGTAACAGAATGAGGTTTAGAATGAGGAGAAGTTGGTGGGGATGTACTGTACGATTTCCCGGGTAAGAGATTTCCAATTTCTTCAGGAGAGTACTCGGAATTTGGAGGTTGTTTCAAAGCATTTTGGAAAGACAACTCAGAATAAATATTTTGCTTAAATGATACTGGCGTCTGGTGACGATATGTTTGGTAGGGTGTGTGTGATGGGTTTTCCTGCTTTTCTAAATATGGTAGTTCGTCATTGTGGCTGTTGATTCCTGACAATTGATAAATAAGAAAAAAAAAGAAATTCATATAATTTATAAATTATAAAATGTTGTTTTTACTTAGTTTTCTTTTAACTTTTTTTGTCTTATGTAAATTATTGAATATTTTTCAGATCATTTGGCTGTAATTCTGAATTCAGTAGTAAATTATTTAGTGGCATCAATTATCATCTTGCGTTTGCAGAGTGATAAAAGCAATTTATAAGAAAAATGAATGAAATTTCATAACAAAAAAAGACGGGGTAACAATTCTATATCTTATCATAAAAATGGTAATACAGGTTAAGAATCGTTTAAACAAAATTCTTGGGACTGTAAGTGCTTCGGTTTTTAGATTTTGGAATACAAGCTTATTAGGCTCGTCTATTAGCCCAATCTTACTAAATTGTCCTCCATATTTATGGAGATTAAAGAAAGAAAACTTTGTGACAAATTGTGTCAAACTAGATATGCTGAACAATGCTGTAGTGAAGAATTGGCTTGTTATTTTGTTGCATGATACTTCACTCAATAAAGGACCATGAAACTGAGACAGGAAAACTCTTTCACAGACAAAATCATCGACAGGATGGTCAACTTTTGGATGACCAGATGTTTTGTTCAACTGAACACTCATTGTCTGGTCATGGTCAGAGTTAGAGTCAGCAGTTCTAACAAGTACGATATTATAAAACGTTCCTCAAAGAATTGCTCTATTTATGACCAGAATTATTTCCTTATAATCAAATATGCAATTTAGTTCAAAGATGGAAATTAGATTAGTGACTGAATAATGATGCTATGAAAAAACTGGCATCAACTTAATACTTAATAGAGTAGATATTATAAACCAAAGTTCATATAAATGAACCCTGAAAATTTTACCAACGTCCAGTTTTATTATGAAACATTAACCGGATGTCATGTAGTAATATATGGGGTGATCAGTTTATCATTTAATAACAATAGAAAAACGATCCCCCTCTTTATATCCAGTAGAAATATATTAGTATTTAACGTAAATCTATCCTGAAAGTTTTGCCAATATCAATTGGTTAATATCAATTTTATTGTGAAAACATTGACTTGCATAATAAAATCTGACATCGTGTAGTAATTCTGAGTGGGGATCAGTTTATTACTTAATAGCAATAGAAAAACGATCCTCCTCTTTATATCCAGTAGAAATATATTAATACTTAATGTAAATCTATCCTGAAAATTTTGCAAATATCAATTGGTTAATATCAATTTTATTGTGAAAACATTGACTTGCATAATAAAATCTGACATCATGTAGTAATTCTGGGGGGGGGATCAGTTTATTACTTAATAATAATAGAAAAACGATCCTTCTCTTTATGTCCAGTAGAAACAATTATTTTTAATGGAAATATATTGTGAAATTTTGCCAACATTGGTTATTTGATATGAATTTCATTGCATCATAAAATCTGATATAATATAACCATGCAAATCATGAAGTGAAACTGATCCTCACTGGGTTCATCATACTTGTGACCATGTACTGTATTAATCTAAGTTTATTACATGATTTTCAGTTTAATTTTTATAATTAACTGCAGATTTTACAGTGGGCATTATCAGGTTAATGTTCTATCTTCGTTATTTGTTTCCATTTGCAATGCCAACTTATTTCAATGTTTCCAATTTCCTTTCTTTGCTCACTATCCTTTGTTCTCAAATCTTTTTGTAATTTTTCTTTTCTTGTCAATGTTTTCAATTTTTCTTTTGACCGTTTTCTCAATTTTCTTCAGCATTTTTGTTATTTCTAACCTTTTATTCCCTTCAGTCACAACAAAATATCTTTTGAGATTATTTTTTTTACAGGCCATAGCTATCTTGGAGACAAATTAAGACCGAGATGATTACATTTGTTGAGGGAGGTTCTCAATGCATAGTTAAGACAGATAAAAGACAGAAAAGTGATATCCTGCCACAAAGTTGACCAATATTAATTATACAGGTGACCTTGCTATCACTGCAGACATTATGACCAATGCCACAGTTCTCCTACATCATCATCTGGCAGTAAGGATTTGGAGGTTTTGTGGAGCATGGAACCACCTATTAACTGCTGTTGTTCCCAGGTCCACCCTGATCCATGGTGGTGGTAGCACCTGTTAAGGTCCCAACTATGGTCATATAGTGACCCCCACCGAAATGACCAACAATGTATATTTATAGTAAAATGACCAACAATACATTTTTATGGAAAAATGACTAACAATACATTTTTATGGAAAAATGACAATACAAAACTAAAAAAACACAAAAATACATTTTTATAGTAAAATTACCAACAATACATTTTATGATCTACGAACTGTATATCTAAAAAAAATGAAAAAAATCCTAGCTTTATGCTGAAAGCATAAAATTACATATAAAATATGTATATTTTGGCACTAAATGACCCATAGAGGTGTTGTTATGCTGCTAAACAAAATCAACCAACTAGAAAATGCTGCAAACTATGCTGGATTCTATGTCAATGCCTCAAAGACTGAATTCACAGGCTTCAGCCAGGAAGACTCAATACAAACAGCTGCAGGTAAATCAATAAAATCTGTTGAATCTTTTACATACCTCGGAAGTGAAATAAATTCTACTGAAGAGGAGGTGAAAATTCATATATCTAAAGCCAGGGTAGTCTCTGATAAAATGGATGTTATCTGGAAATTTCAAACAGAAATTCCTTCGAGGCACTGTACAGGTGGTGTTAATGTATGGTACCACTGCCTGGATATTAACTAAAACCCTTGAGTCTAAGCATGATGGAACCTACACTTGGATGCTGAGCGCTGTACTTAAATCTACTGGTGACAATATCAATCTAAATCACAGCTCTATGGACCCATCTCTGATATTTCTACAATCTTATGTGAACACAGATTGCTGGCAAGCAAAAGAACTAGAAAGTGATCTGCACTGGACACCTAGTGTGCATGATGGGCTGGTTGCCCAGAAACCACCTAAATTGACCAGTGATGTTATTACACAGAATGTCACGCTAATGACCTTCTGACCTTGATGCAAGACTGTGAGAGTTGGTGTGATAGACTCATGAATGATCAAGACAGCTATGAATGAAAATAATAGCTATCTTAATATTTCTGAAATTAAGAAATACGTATCAATAACTATTATATAAATATTATATATATGCCTTGTTGATACATGTGTCCACACTGCTTATATTTATATATGCTCTGTCCCTGATATTGAGCACTTTCCTCCCATAAATATAGCATACTTTAGAACTATTTTTTCATCCAAAAATTTAGTTTTAGCTTTAAGGTCTGGTATATTTATTCATAAAAGTGCTCATTATCAAGGATAGAGCATATATATATATATATATATATATATATATATATATATATATATATATCAAAGAGAACACTGAGGTCATAAGTTTGTTTCATGAAATGCAATCTGTTTCTGAATGCAATCTTCCAGCCAGCAGAGGGCCTGAAAATTGTATTCAAGCATGAAACAGACTATCACCACTGATGTTGACCTCAGTGTCTCCTTTTATAGATATCTCTCTCTCTCCCTATATATATATATATATATATATATATATATATATATATATATATATATACGGTATATAATCTTATCTGTTGGTGTATAATCCAAGTGAATCCTATTAATATAATATAAAATATTAAAACTGATTCACATCTAGTGCTCAGTGTTTTATTTAAATTACATGCAATAGGAATTACATATTTAATTCCCATTGTATGGAATATATATATATATATATATATATAATGGAAATTTATATATATATATATATATATATATATATATATATATATATGTGTGTGTGTGTGTGTGTGTGTGTGTGTGTTAGTGTGTAAAAATTTCAGAGAGAGTATATTTGTAAGAAGACAATATGAATAAAGACAAAAGGAAAACTTATCTTAGCTGACATACTTCATCATCTGGGGGACTTTATCAAGTTAAATGCAAGGATTTTATTTTACCATAAATATTTATATTCAAGAGCAAAAATATTATGGTTTTTCAAAATGTTTAAGTTTAAGAATGCTCATAAATATTCATTGGGTGAGCTGAAAAGTCAGGCAAGTTATAGAGGACACAAAGTGATAGAATTTAATGTCTAATAAATGAAAGTGGGTAAATGTTTTTTTGAAATTTTTTTTATATGCAAATTAGTATTTAAATTATTTTAGTTTGGGATTAATTTATGTGTTATGCATTTTAAATAACATGAAGTTAACCATTTAACCATTCTCTTTTCATTTTTTAACATTTTTGTAGTCATGTCTGTTGGTTTGGGAAAAGAGTAATTCTTTCAGGAATGAAGATATTGGAAAAACTCTGGGATGTAGATTTATATTTTGATAAGATTCAATAGTGGCTCCTTGAAAATTTTAATACTAAGTTATTTTCTTTTTTAATAAGTATGGCATTTGCTAGGTCAAAGTTGTGGTTGAATTTATTTCTATGTATGACTAATGGATTTGATAAATTGTTTTGTGTTCATAGATATGTTTTTAATTTTCTGCAAGTTTCCCCAATATATTGTGAGGAGCAGCTAACCTGATGAATATTAAGGAGCAGGCCTAAATTTAAAAATTTTGAAAAACCAATAACATTTTTGCTCTTATAAATAAATACATGTTACAAAAGAACATTTGCCTTGATAAGCTCCCTGAGAGGAGAAAGAAGCAAAAAAAAAAAAGAAAAAGACTGTATCAAAATCCATGTTGACTTCAAAAACATTTTCATCAAACAGAGTCAGAGAGAATTTCAAAATGGTGGATCCTCCAATAGTCAGATGTGAAAGTGTAAAAAAGAAACTGTCTTCAACAAATGAATTTAATTAAACCAAAATGACTGTTTAATTCAATCCCAAGGTTGTAATAACAAAGTCTGAAATTAAGATTAGAAGGACATAAATGCATGGGTCAGACATGGGTGAGGTTGTAAAAAGGAAGACTGTGTGCCAAAGT